TAAAACTTAAAGAGACATATTGTTGGGTCTAAAAACAAACCTTTTTAGCAAAATACTACTAAAGCACTTAACATTTGGAGGACATATTTAATAGAATGTTTTCTTTTTGAATGCTAAAGAAAGTCACTTATTTCTACTCAAGAGAGGTTCAACTCAAATGATTTTATTTGAAACTTTTAAAACACTGAAATTGAACACAGAATGGGAACTAGAAGGAAAGAATCTTTTAAGCATGGATGGTTACCTTCTCTCTTGCCAAGTGTTCTGCAGGAAATGTCAGTTATTGCTGTAGTTCCCCGATAATGTTTAATTCTCTTGACGTCATTTTAGAGAGCTTTCTCCCCTCTGGTTGAGAAAGCTTCTTCTCCTGTCGCATTGTGACTTGGCGTTTTCAGTGTTTGCAAGTGCAGATGTACAGAAGCTCTTCCTCCTCTTCACAGGTAAACGGGAAGCACTGGCTGCGAAGCCCTCACTGTTCTCTTGACCTGATGTGGAGGGCGGTAGACAAGGCTTTTGGCGGGAGGACACAACTTTTTTGCTGGGGGACACATTTTCATATCCTCTGCTGTCAAATGTATATATTGTTCTCCTTTTGGCTCTTTGGGAAACGAAGGAAGTGCAAGGAGCTGGAAGTGAAATCCACACAAGCCCTTCATTTTCCAAATTATTTTGTAGCCTCATGCTACGTCTCACTTTTCTTTCACTGTTTGTTCTCTGAAAGGTTTGCTCTATGGAGTCAGATAAATCTTTATACAGTTCAGAGTTTTCTAAACTAATTTCTTCAAAGCTGCTCACACCCGAGGAAGGTTTGTGATGCCCATTTTCTCCCAAATGTAAACTTTGCCCATCAGAATAACACATAGAGCGTCGTCTGTGTTTCCTTTCACAGCTCACACCACTGCCACTTTCTGCGAAGGTTCTTCCCAAATCCTTGCTTTGACTTTTATTTTCTTTTATGCTGTCCATTAAGACATCTTCTGAAGAATCGCGTTCTTTTTGTGAGTCAGATATTAAAGGCTTGGTCGGCAGTTTCCCTGCAGAAGCTACTAAGAAGTCATCCTGTTTTTCAAGCTTTATAGCTTCTGAAATTTTAAAGCTTTGAGAAAAGTTTTCCACATTTTGACCAGCAGCAGAAAATTCTTGGGACTGTAGAATAAGGCCAGATTTTGGATGATATGATATAATGGGTTTTTTTGTCACAGAAGCACAAGAAATACGACTGTTATTATTCTCGGTCTCAGTTTGTAGTTCATTTTCACTTCCCAACTTAATTTCTGCTTTTGGAATAATTTTATTTTCATGAATTTTTATATTATTTATATTTGAATCTTGATCAAACTTAGCATTAATAAGTGACAAGGAGCTTTTTATATAAGAGCTGCAGAATTCAGACACATCGGATTTATTAACGTCTTGATTCATCTGCAAATCCGAGTTCTGAGGCAAAAGATTCTTTCTTTCTGGAAGCTTCACTTCTTCAAGTTCACCATCTGAGTTGGAACCATCTATGGGCATGTAAGTAAGTTTGAACTGAATTAAAAAGTAACAATGAAAATAAACGTTTAACAAATCAAACAGCTGCCACACTGTAGTCTCCATTTTAAGCTTTCAAACATCACAAGGCTTACAAAATGTCACACTGTATGTACATGCCTCCATCCATCACCTTCCTTTCTCTTTTAGTTCTTCCCTAACCCCACAGCTTAAGAAAATATGTATTTAATGCATGAAATAATAAAGCACATAATATCAGACCAGAANAAAAAAAGATCCATGTGACTGTTTATAGCAGCTTTATTTCTAATAGCCAAAAAATAGAAACAATCCAAATATCCATCAACTGGCGAATGGATGAATAAACTATACATCTGTAAAATGGGATATACTACTTAGCAATAAACAAGAATCTACTACTTATACAATATAATATGCGACATGGATGAATCTCAAAAACATTATGCTAATTTAAAAAGGCAGACACAAAAGGATATATACTGTACAATCCCATTTATATGAAACTCTGGAAAAGGCAAAACTATACGGATAAAAATCAGGTGAGTGGTTGCGAGAGGCCGGCCTTGGGGGAGAGAGGACTGTCTGACAAGAGGAAGGAGAAAATTTCTTTTGGGGTGATGAAAATGTTCTCTTACTTACTTGACTGGGGTAGCAGTTACACGAATTTGCCAAAATTCAAACTGTACCTTCAAAAAGGGTGAACTTTACTGTACATTAATTATACCTCAACAAACCTCCCATTAAAAGAAAAAGCTTTCAATCTAAGGCACGCACAAATCAGGCACTATTAATCATTTTTTTTTGTGATGCAAGATCTAAATCTGACCCTTAATTCTACAGCTTAAGTGCCAGTGGGGGCAGTAGGAGAAAATGGAAGCCAAGTGGCATTAAGTGGCAGGAGAATACAAAAGACAGAAAGAAAGCATGGATGCCAAATTTTTATAAAAGGACTTTGCCAGGTAAGACCTACAGAAGAGAACTTAATAACCATGTTAATATCAAGGAATTTATCTTACATTTTCATGCAAGATAATTTTCAATTAACAAAAAACCGGAGACTACTGGCATCCATTAGTGAGGAGATGCCTAAATTATACTCGTAGATATCAAAATCATGTAATTCTATGCAAGGGTTAAAGAGACAGAGGAACACTATGGCTCTCCATTTTAAGGCTGAAGGACATTCATGGTAACTTGCTGAATAAAAACATCAAGTTGCAGAATGGCACATATCGTGATCCCACCAAAAACAACAAAACCCACGCCCTCGTTCATACAGGCAAAGGTCTGGAAGGTGTCCACCAGTGTTAAGTGTGTACATTTAAGAAAGCGGGGGAGAGGAAGGGGAGGCCGTGGGATGCATGTGTGGAGTGAGAGAAGGCACTTTTTAATTTTGTACAGTTCTCTACCTTTTTCAGTAGCCACATACTACTTTTATAATAAAAATGAGTAAAAATAAAAGTTAAGGGGAAGGACCCACAGCAACAAGAGCAGCTCTGCTATGAAGGTAATGTGTGTAGGAGGAAAAACTTCAGATGCCATGCTGCCATCTTCTGGAACAAACAAGAATCTACAGGAGCAGGAAAAGATGAGAAGGCTTGCTAACACGAAATTGTCAAGGGTTGCAGCAGTAAAATAGATGAGGCTGGAAAAAACTATTTTGTAAGCCAAGTTTTTCATTTAACCACTAGTGAAAAGAAACCGTTAAAAATAAGCAAGCATGTCAAATACAGA